GTGCCGCAAGAAATTGTGTTGGCTAAAAAAGTGGATGAAAATGGTACTGTTGATGTTAAAAAATATTTTTCTTAATTTATTTCCGCAAAAAATACACCATTTGTTTCTCTTGGTGCTCCTCATTGGTCCCCTCTACTTTATCGTTTTTCATTTTTAATTTTGTAAATTAAAAAAAAAAATTACACTCGGACAAATTGAGGTAGAGTGCAGCCTACATTTCTCTTGCGCTAATAATCTCTTATTTTAATTTTGTGTTTATTAATAAATAAGTATTATTTTATAAATTAAGTTTACAATTTAAATTTTAGTGTTAATATTTTAAAAAATAATATTTTGAAACACATCAAATCAATCTGATAGTCTGTTCTTAAAATTATCTAAAGAAAGATTAATTTTAAATTACATAAGAATTAATTTAAAGATGTCTTTATTGTAAATACCAAAAAAAAATCTTCTATTTGGAGAGAATTTGTCAAATTGGGAATTTAATTAATATTTTTCGTATATGTTCAAGTTAAGAGTATGATTGACTTAAAGAAATTGAAAAAAAGAGAGGAAGGCAAACCCTCCTTATCATAATTTATTTATACTATTATATCAATCATGTTCTCGAACTATTGTTAAGATAAACTTGAGAAAAAGATATTATTGATAAAGATAAATTGGAGGTTAGATAATAGATACTACCATGACTTCAAGGTTTATGTCTAATTCCACTAGTCACAATCACCTGCAAGATCTGATGTCCTGTTCCTATATCCTCGGATGGCTGTATCTTAATTTTCCGCAACTTTTATCGATCCCTGAAGAGTATATGGGAGACCATAGATTCGAAATGAGTGAACCTAATGAGATTGATGCTCCTGAAGGCGACGCCAGACACAGATTTTCTTCCTCCATCCAATTCTCCAGTGTTATCTCTTGCGTGAGTGTTTTCTTCTTCTTCGTCGTTTTTTCTTTTTTAAGCAAAAGGAAATTTTTATTAATTGAATGAACACTAATGGATACACATTTTAATTTACCGCAATGCATAACATACTCATTAAATATTACTTTTGCTTTTCAAAAAAAAAAAATACTCTTTAAAAATTTTTATTTTTTAATTTAAAATTAAAAATTAGACAAATTTAAATATATAATAATATACACAAAATGTAAAAACTAATTAAATCAATTGCAACTATATACACAAGAAAGTATTGTACAAAAATTTAGGCTTAATTTGTTACTATTAACTTTTTAAGTACAGTTGTAAGTTTTTTTTATCATTTATTATTTTAAAAATATATTTAATATATTTAATATTTATTTTAATTAATATTCTATATATTTTTAAAATAATATAAAAAAAACATAAAAATCAAAAACTAAAACACTGATAAGCATTTAAAAAAAAAAAAACCTTAATATACTCGGTAAAGGAGTTTGGTATGAATTGTTACATATCATGTTTGGCATAAATAGCGTTTTTATTTTTAAATTTTTTTGGTCTATGATAAATAGTTAATATTGAAAAAATATGAAGGAAAATTGAGGATTTTTTTTTTTTATATAAATGTGAGAAGAAGAGATTGCTTATTAAAATAAGGAGTGTGAAACTTTAATTACCTCAACCTTCCTTAAAAAGTTTTGGGGGAAAATCTCTTCCTCAACCCACCAATTCCTTGAGGTACAATTCTTGCGTAGGTCAGTGTATTTAATGAAATTCAAATTTTGTACTCAAGTAATATAGTACATCACATCTATTTTACTTAAAGACACTTTTACAGTTTTACATGGTACAAATATTGATAGACATTATCAAAATTCAAACAAATACAATCATTATTTATTGAAATTTTACTTTGAGCCTTAAAAGGAAGCTTTAAATGTTAGGAGTTTTAAATTTTAAGTTGAAAATTT